CTTTCCTGATTCACCTTTTCAGTAAACTAACTACAGTTTTTCAGTTATTAAACGTTTTCGTTTCTTCTAGCATCATTTCCTATAACTGTTTGTTCGAGTAAGTTCTTTTGTGTTTTTACATTTTAACTAAGCTCAAAAAAGAACAATGTTTTATTTATTATATAATATGTTTACAGATAAGCTATTCTTTTATCAAAGCCGGTTAATTTATTCTTTTATTAAAAGCCAGTTAATTTATTCTATTAAAAGTCAGCTGCTATATTTTAAATCAGGATTTCAGTATTCAAAATAGAATCTAATTTAAGTTCAATTTTTGGATTCTGAACCTAAATCAGGATCAGTTGAAGCGGGAGCCGAATATTTCCGAAAATTCGTAGAGTATGGCTCGAAGGCTTTCACTTCGCCCCCAGCCAATAAATATATGAGCAGGTTGGATCGATTAACATCTCTAATAAAAATTTTTTAATGAATGTAACATGATTTTCAGATTAATTTGAAAATTCTACGTCTTTGCTTTATCAGCCTGTCAGCTTTTAAAAAAATTTTTCAAAAAAACTTTTTAAATGAAATTTAAAGTAAATAGCAGATTGTTGTATCACTTTCATTTTTATCATATTTATAAAGGAAAAGAAAACAAATGCTATATAGTTATTGGATGCGAATCAGCCAATAAATGTTATTACCTTTGATATGGTTAGGGATACTGTTGGACATCAAATGATTCACAGTTAAATAACCGTTTAGTAAAGTCGGTGCAGTTTACTAAATTATGCAAATCACATATTTTATTGTGCTAAGGCAAATTATACGGGTACTGTATTATGCCAGATCATGAACATGGACACTCTGGTGTCCATAGACTTATTCCCACCAAAATTTGGGATACAGGCGCACCACGAATGGTTATGCTGTAATAGGTTGATCAACATTGTATGGACTAATATTGCATGTGACTATAGAATTCAGTCCAAAGTCTAATACGGGACGGGTGGGGTAAACTTTGGAGGCTACAGTACATCCATGTAGATTTATCTTTTATATAAATAAAAAGGCTCATACTTTATTGCTTTAACTTCAATTTATTATCTGTTTTTTTAATATAAAAATTTATCTTTAAAGATCTATAGATTGTGAATTATTTTGCATAATAATTGTTAGTACTTCTTTCGCTTGTAAAATGTTACTTTCTTAAAACTTTACAGAAACTTGCAAAAAATTGCTGTTATTTTTATTTTAAAATAAAATAAAATAATTCATAACATAAAGAAGGTGTTATCAAAAAAAAAAAAAGTTGGGTTCAAATTACGTGTTAATAACATTTCTCAAAAAATTACGGTTAAATTTACCACGTGCACGTGCGAAAATACAAAAAAGGGGCTTAATTGTCACGTATCGTGACCATTGAAAAATATAACTTTATACAGGTTTTTTATACGCTACGATACGTGACAATTAAACAACCTTTTCTACTGGATGGACCCTTTATTTGTATTACACGTTTCGTCACTAAACAGCTTGGTTGAGGATCGGCAAGTAGTTACAAGTTTTCAAGTGTTACAACATTGAAAACCAATTGAAATGACTGAAAGATGGATCATTTTTTAATCTTATATTACAGTATTACGTCTTTTCACAAATTGCATTACACAATCGAAGTATCTAGACGCTAAAATAATATTTATATAAATATGATGAGTAGTTAAATATTAATCTTGCACTGCCTGTTTCCATAAAAACATTTCTCTGCTCGAAATTTAGCATATTCTATTAATATTATGGAAAAAGAAAATCCTCCGGTTGACGATAGTGAACAAACTCGAAAAAAGCATGCGGAGTCAGAACAAAAAAGACGGGATGAATTCAAAATCCGACTTAATACACTCCGCGAATTATTAGCTTCCACACCTTACCAAAGTAACAATGCGTCCAAAATTGATTTATTAAAAAATGGTAATGTAATCATTTCCGATTTACGAATTTACGCACCATAATTCATTAAGGGGGACAAATTCTTTCCAACAGGAACTTTCTGTCATGAGATTTCCACCATGTACAGTACAATTTAGGCCAGCGTGTCATGTTTGTGGCGCAGCAAAATCCTTTAAAGTTCGTTCGTTAATGTTAGGGTAATGGTCAGGGTTAGAAGCTAGAGAGGGAGAATATAGTAAGATTGTCCAGCGAAAACATTTTGTTAGAGCACTAAAGGTGGTTTCTTATTTTTAATTTTCCTGTTCCACCTGATCATGTCGTAGTTTAAGCGATATGCGCCACAGTTGCGCCACAAACCTGACTCACATTTCGTAAAGTCTTATCTCGTGACGAGTGCTGGATAAGCATCAGCTGCGTTATTTGCGCAGTGTTATTCTGTAACGATGTTTACTAATTTTGGTTTGTGTTATTTATTTCATGTAGTTACTTTTTACATAAAAAGTTTACATGATAAGCTTGAGGGAATTCAAGTCAGTCTAAATCAATCCCGCGCGAATTGGGACGAAGAAAAGGAAACTCTTCTAAATGAAATTAATCAATTAAATGAAAAAGTTAATCGGTTAAATAATGAAAACAATTATTTAGACGAAGAAAATAATTTATTACTAAGTTTAGTAAATTTTGAACCCCAAATTTCATAAAATTTTACATTTTTTTAAATTTATTTAATATTCACTGGTGGTGAAATTCACCATCCTTGATAATGTTTA